CCACGGCGAGACCTCGTGTGGGCTGCCTGTGAGCACACGCCCGCAGCGCCAGCAGAAGCAAAGGTGGGCGGCACACCGCACAGGTTCCCACAAGACGCATGCCTGCGCTGCCCGCCCCACGGAGAACACCGAGCTATGGGGAGCTAAGACAGCGCCGGAGCTGGCTGCTCAAGGTCCCAATTTAAAGCACAAGGAACCTGACCAAGCATAATTTTAGGTTCCTTATTTCCCCTGAATCCTATAAGAGCACAAACTCTGAAAAGCGTCCATGTCCAAATGGTCCTTACCAAATTTTCTCCACCTAAAACCCCACACTAAGCAAGCGCCACAACTAAAAAGGACACTGTGGATAATGTGTCCTCTGGCCACACTGAACCCTAAATGGAACAGGAGGGTGCTAGTCTCCAAAGGGTCCTAAAAGAAAAGAAATCAAAGCCTAGATAAGAAATGTTTTGGATAATCAACTGGCTTCTTTTCATCTTCAAAGCGCTGAACATGCGCTAATTAGCCTCACACCACCCTCTGAGGTAAGAGCGGTGGCTTCCCTTCCAGGTGGGGCACAGGCAGCACGGTGCTTCACCCTTGCCCCGGGTCAGCAGGAGAGCCGGAGTCAGCAGAGGCCCGGGGCAGAGCCCTGACAACAACAGCTCAGTCTGAGGTTCCCGGTGCCTCCCATCTGCCCACGCAGAACCCAGCCCACAGCCACTGGTCCCTGGGCATCTGCTCTTATTTTTTAAACTATACGCAAGAGTAGCTTCGACTCGACATCTCCCCTCCTGAGTGCCCAGCAGCAGGCTCAGGGTGGGACTGGAGGCGCTGCCATTACTCGGCTTTCCTGGTTTTTAACACTTGTTTGTGACTATTTTGTTCTTTCACAAGACTTCGGCTTTTATCAATGATAAAAAAACAAAGAAAGAAAGAAACTGTGAAGGGGAGACACGACCCTAATGGCTGGTACACAGAAGAGCACGTTGCTGCCACTAGTCCCACCAGCCACACCAGGGAGCAGCCGTCAGTGTGGTGAAAGCCAAGGCTTTAAGCCAGTGCTTAAAGTGGGACTAAACCCAGGGTGTCTGCACAAGCCAGAGTAAAGGGGCCTGCCAGTGAAATTAAGTTGCCAAATGCTTGTTTCCCTCTCACAAGAGTTAAAAATCGTCCCTGCAGGAGAACCACGCTTCGAGGGAAATAAAAACCAAGCCTTGGTTTCGACGGTACTTGTCGGGAGTTCACCTGTTTCGCCTAGCCCACACTAATGAACAGGTGGATGAAAACGGAGCCAAGTGCATCAAAGGAAGCAGACGCAATCCTGCAGCACAACACACCTGCAAGTTTCGTCATGCGCGCAGCACGCCCAGCCCTCTGCCTGCGGTTCTGACAAGCCCAGGGCGAAACCTTCCCACCCGCTCGCGCCCAACACAGCTTCCTCCTGCTGGGGGACCTCGGTCAGACCAGACCGACCCTTCGAAAAAGAAAAGGAAACAACATGCACAACCCCAGCCGACTTGAGACTTTCCAGAAGAAACACGGGTCTCAGGAGGCTCTGGGAGGGATGTGCTGGCACCAGGAGCCGCCAGGGGCCGTTGCCTCACAGTTTCATTCATTCACTTCCCAGGGATTTCAGAGGCTGCGTCAGACAATTGCTCACTCTCACTGGGGGCCAACTGCCCAAGTGCTCTGCCCCAAACAGCAGGCAGAGCTGCATCCTCTTCAGCCTTTGCCAACACATGCCCAGCTGGGTGGCGGAGGCTTAGCTTTAAGCCTTTGAGAAAACCTTTCCACACCTCAGGAGGAAGGGGCAAAATGAGAAGTTCTCTCCCCCTAATGTGGAACTTGGAGATGTCAAAATAAAAAGCACCTCCCCAATCTTGGCTGGTTTGATTCCACTAAAAAAATTCAACCCACTCCAACAGCTTCAGAGGAGCAGGGGCAGCAAGTCTGGCCCTCCTCTGGGTACTCTGAATGCAACCTGTATACCGTGTTGCCTCCTCTCCTAGGGAAGGAGAGACAGAAAACTTGGAAACAATCTAGAAAAAAGCAACAAGATGATCAAAAAAGTAAAAAAAAGAACCTGTGGGCAAAGTGATTGCAAAACTGGACAAAAAGTGGCCACCACAACCTTCCCAAGCTGAGAAGACTTCTGAGCTCCGAGGAGCTGGGCTAGGGGACAAGGCACGGAAGCTGGCAGACACCGGGATGCTGCCAGGACACAGCACCAAGCGCTCAGGCAGCCTGCACACGGAGGCCTCTCCTGCCTGCAGATCACAACTGGCTCCAGCTCGATGGTCAGGGCACCCTGCTGACCCTACCAGGCCGACCTCTGTCATATGTGAACATGGCCATGGGCAAGGGAGGACAAGGCAGGGGACAGGGGTGATGGGGTTGGGGGAGACACTCCCAGGCCAGGCTGGCAAGGAGCTGGCTACAGGAGCCCCCAGAAGCCTGTCAAAAATGAAGCTTCCTGACAGGGTGAAGGTGGTCTAAGAACTCACCTGAGCAAGGCCAAACATGTTTACCTCTCAAAGCAGCCCCCACGTGTGGGGCAAGTCCAGCGTCCTACCCTGCAGGGCCACCATGCACCGATGAGCTCCCGTTACATTTTGTTAGACCTTCCACTTGTTTTCCTGACCTAAAACTTTTCAGTAAGACTCATGGCAAAAATTAAGAATCCAGGCTGGGCACAGTGGCTCACGCCTGTAATCCTAGCACTCCGGGAGGCCGAGGCAGGAGGATTGCTCGAGGTGAGAAGTTCAAGACCAGCCTGAGCAAGATCGAGATCCCTGTCTCTACTAAAAATAGAAAGAAATTGGCTGGACAACTAAAAATATACATAGAAAAAATTAGCCGGGCATGGTGGCGCACGCCTGTAGTCCCAGCTACTCGGGAGGCTGAGGCAGGAGGATCGCTTGAACCCAGGAGTTTGAGGTTGCTGCGAGCTAGGCTGACGCCATGCACTCTACCCAGGGTAACAGAGCAAGACTCTGTCTCAAAAAAAAACAAAACAACAACAAAAAAAAGAATCCAGTTACACCCAAACCTTCAAATTAACCATCTCAATCCACCCGCTCCACCGGAATCACCTGAAGCATAAACGTACAACATCCCGAGGATCCACCGACCAACAGCACAGCGGGCACACACCTGACACATCAGACCCCACCCTCACCGCTCCCCATACCCAGCCACCAAAGGCCAGCCTCAGCCTGCACTGACCTCCACTAGCACAATTAAACCAACAATCACGACAAAATCCCCTTTAGGCACCTCCCCACACAACCGGAGCAAGGGGCGCTTGAGGGCACGCCTGTCACCTGTACTCGTAGCCCCCAAACGCCTGGCAAGGCAGGTGCTCTCAATTCCACCAACACGTCAGGCATGCAGCCAAAAACACTTTTCTCAAAAAGTCAGAAAGAAAAAGATTCAAATGATTATTTAAAAATTTTAAAAACTATTGTTACACGCCCAAGGGAACTGAAAGCTAAGTTCAAACAAAAGCTTTCAAGTGGAGGCTCACAGCAGCCTCACTCGCTATAGCCACAAACACCCACACACTGGGCTATCATTCGGCCACAGAAATGAAGCTCCGACGCAGGCTGGGCAAGAGCCGCCAGACACACAAGGTCACGCGGTGTGAGCCCATTTATGTGAGGTGTCCCCGACAGGCAAACCCACAGACAAGGTGGATCAACGACGCTAGGGGCTGAGGAGTGACCACTCAGGGGGTAATAGGTTTCTTTCTGGGGTGATGACAGCGTCCTGGAATTAGATAATAGTGACGGTTGCACAACCTGTGAATATTCCAAAAACTACTGAATTATTCGCTTTAAAAGGATGCATTATTTGTGGCATACAAACTACATTTGAGGTTTGAGAACTGCCGTACGACATCACACGTGTGTGGAGGCTGGAAGAGGCCTGAAGAAAGCAGATGTCGCCTTGGCAGAGCCAGGATTAGAAAATGTTTTTCTCTTCCCAGGTTTCTTTCTTACGTGTTTTGACAGATTCCCATCATCTGAATGGCCACCTTCCCAAAGACAATGGCAACACGGCTGGAAGAAGCAGATGTTGAGGACGTTTACCCGACGCAACCAGCAGGAAAGCAAAGGGGCTGCGGCGAGCGGACGAGGGGGTCCAGCGCAGCGTCCCCCCAGGCTTGCTCAAGCCCAGGGATACTGCACCATCAGCCCCACTCTCCACCCAGCCCCGGCAGCTTCCCACTCCTCCTCAGAACCTGCAAGGACGCAGACAGGACCACCTGAGACGCTGCGCTCGGTCACGCACTCCAAAGCACCCTGCTCTCCTCGGGGGGCTGCCGCGACGTCAGAGACAAGGACAAGAGCTGCTCTCCAAGTCTCCCCACTGCAATTAAAGAAAGAGGTAGGTCTGTCCCCCAGACACTGGGGGCCACAGAGGGCTGCTGGCTCCCTCTCCGGAGAAGGCTGGCCTGGGAGCTTCGCAGCCTTGACCCCCAGGCCTCATCCTCTTCTGCAAAACTTAAACTAGATCTTTTCTCCTCCATAGCACTAGAAAAGGCAACGCAACAGACAAGCAAAGAAAGGGCCAGTCAAGGCTGGAGGCGGGGCACCTGCTGGGCACCTTCAGGGTCTGTGTTAAACACGGGCATCACAAACAGCCTAACCCGACCATTTGAACAAAACCAAGTTTCAAATCACCTGCCTCATTTCATTAGAGCTGGTTCTGATAACTGTGCTGTATAACAAAATTAAGCAGGAGAAAACCAGAGGAGACACTTGCCCGAAAGGCAGGCACCACTGCCCTCTGGTGGCGAGCGCAGGGACGAGGCCGGCTGGTTAACGAGGCAGGACCCACAGCTGCGGAGCAAAGACCGTCCAGGACCCTGCCAGGGCTAAACAAACCTGACCAGGTTCCAATCACTTCAAAACGGAATGGCATGTAAACCACGTTCCACAGTCCTGCGTGAAGCACCATTTATTTCCCTGCTGTCTCCAGACCCTGAGGCTGTGCCCCGGGGCAGTGCTTACCAGGGCCTGCAGCGTCCCGTCTATGGCGATGACCCCCTCAAGGGTCTGGAAGGAGGAGCAGGCCAAGGTGCACAAGCTCCAGTCCAGGAAACCTGCCATCTTCTGCTGCTTGACGTCCGGGCGTGTGATAAATCTGCCAGAAGGAAACGGCACAGCGTGTCACAGTGTAGCCCGATGGAGGCCTCCAACACCAAGAACCTCCCTCCCCACGTCTCAGCGGCCCCTCAGTGCACATGCCCCTCACCGCGTCCTCCCAATTCGAAACACTGTGCACAGACGTCTGCTCTTGTCAGATCTTCCCGCTCCAACCCAAGAAACGAAGTCACTGTCCAGAACACGACCTCTCTCGGGTCACACAGGCCTCACTGTCCCGTCTCCTCCCTGGACCCAGCTCCGCATCCCTTAACCTCAGGAACCCATGCTCCCGGCCCCATGACCTCGCACCACACAGGCCTGTTTCTGCGTCCCAGCCCCTCACACAGAGCTCCCGCCAGCGTCCCATAGTCCTCCCTCCCAGACACGGCCTCGGGTTCCTCTTGTGGCCTGGCCTCAGCTGACCACATAGAGCTCCCAAAACAAAAACCTGTGCCCTCTTCCTTCCTCCACCAGCAGCTCTGCCCAAGTGACTTGAGACTGGCCCTACCACATAGAGACCAAGGCAAGACCCTGCCCTCCGCAGCTGACACTCGGGAGAGAAACAGTAAACAATGGAGGAAAATCGGGGTGAGGGCAGGTACAGAGGCAGCCTCCAAGGGCACATGCCAGGGAGGCTGCAAAACCCAGTGGAAAAGGTCTACTGTCCAAGGTGGTGGCAAGAGCCACAGCCCAGGGGCTAAAAGGCGCTCAGGGGACTGGAGGAAGACAAAGGAGCCGGTGTGGCTGGGAGCAGAGAGTGGAGGCACGAGCGAGGTTGGCCAGGCTATGCCAGTGGGCCTGACGTGCGCCCTGACTGCACTTTTGCAGGTAGGTGGGAGGGACGCGGGAGGGCGGTGGGTAGCAGGTTCCTCCAGAATGATGGGCCCTCTCACAAGAAGGGGCTGGGGAGGGCCAGGCCCACTAGACAGCCTCAGGGAGCCCCCCAGGCAGCCGCTACACAAGCCCAGAGCTCAAGTGAGATGCCAGAGCTGAGCTGCCAGGCTGAGATGCCTCCCGCTGATCCCGCCCCAGCGACCAGAGCCAGGATGGGACACCCTCACCCCACCCACCCCAGTCACCAGAGCCAGGATGGGACGGCCTCCCCCCACCCACCCCAGTCACCAGAGCCAGGATGGGACGGCCTCCCCCCACCCACCCCAGTCACCAGAGCCAGGATGGGACACCCTTCATCTCTGCTGCTCCCTGGCCATGGGGCCCTCTTGGTCTGTCCACCTTGCAGCCCTCTGTCTGGCCTGTCCAGTTGGGCCACATTAGAGCCAGCTGCAGGCTCCATGGCAGCAAACCCTTCCAGAGCACACACCTGCTACGTTCCTGCGTCAGGTTCCTCACATGACACTCAAAGAACAGAAACTCTGCCAAGCCAAGATGGATGCTGGCAGCTGTCAACTTCCCATGAACAGTGAGGACCCCATCCCCAGGCCACCGTTCACATCGTATACACCTGGGGAGGGGCTAGGCGTTAATGCCGAGAAACAAATCCCTATTTCCAAATGTTTCGGCTCCACTCCTGCTGGGCCTCACTGGTCCTCACACTCGTGCCAGGTTGTGGCTGACCAGGGACAGCACCCACAGGAACTCCGTGCCCCACTGAGGCTCACAGCAAAGCCCCATCATTGCCCGGTCGAAGAGTCCACCGTTAAACTCCAGGAAACCTGGAGGTCGTGCAGGCAGAGCAAGCAAAGGCTCTAAGAGTGCTCTTGCTGCTCCCCTGACCAGGGTGCAGGCCCGGAGATGCCACTCGGTCACCAAGGGTTTTGGTCAGACTTTAGGATACTGGTTAAAAAGATAAACTCACGTGCCCTTCGCAGGAAATTTAGCTTCAGTGGATCTGTGAAGGGGACCCAGGGATTCCATTTGAAATCTGCACTTCAGGGCGAGAGCCTGAAAGTCTCAGGGGCGTATGGACACCATGCCAATTTCCCTGGCACCATTTCCGGTGCCAATAGGATAAGGGCAGTGACTGATGCCACCTGACCCTCAGCCTGACTCCAAGTACCCCGTGCAGGTGCCACCCAGCTGAGACTGCCCGGCAGGGCGGGAACCCTGAACCACCGGAGACAGAGCCGCACCTCCACGCACGCTTGTGCCCCAGGCTCCCCTCTGGAAAACTGTGCGTCCTGAAGACCCAGCTCAAACCTGCCTCCGCCACCCCCACACCGGCAGGCAGCACAGAGAAGCCCGGATGGTACACCCTGTACACATGCATCTCACTCAAGTCCATTCTCCACTGGAATCATACAAGGTGAGTTTCCAAATTAAGGTGGAAATCTGAGG